AATAATAATAATATCTCTACTCCTCATTCTAACTACGAGAATTAGCCCAGAAGTCGGAGACTTGTGCGGGAGAGGAGGCGGCATATTATTATTACGCAGGCCGCATTTGCGCCCAGGAACGACTTATGTTGGTAGGCCCTAACCACCATTCAGTGCAGGAATGAGGGAAACCTGGAAAACCTCATTAATTAGGGGGGTGGTCAAATGCCAATCGGTGTCAATCTCTCACATTGACCCAAGCCAACATTCTTCCACCCTACCATACCTGCACAGAGGGCGCCAATCCTCCGTACAAGTATAGATAATCTACGGTCACCGGCCGCGGGAATCGAAACCCGGGCAGACAAACACATAGATTTAAGTACTGACGCCTTAAACCGTGCGGCTATCGACCGATGATAGTTAAGTAAATTTGTTATAACTCTGCGTGTAACCTAAAGAGAATTTTCCTTTGAAAATTGAAAGTTGTTTGTTTTTCTATTAAATTATTCTTATTTCAACTTTTTTCCTGATCGTCAAGTTTGACGTTTAAATTCACAGCCAACTTTTCAATTTTCTATGGTTTTATACAACACAGTTACAATACATATTATGTATTAGTTATTCGTGTTTATGTTTTTTGAAAACTAACAAGAGTAAGAAAAGTTTTAGAATTAAATTCCCCATAAAACAAAGTAGTAATTTTTTAAGTCCCCTAACGGGATAAAAAATTCTGTCACATTTTAAAGGAGCATCGCCCCTTATCAACCCTTTAAAATGCTTCAATTGAACTCTACTTACTGTCGATCTCTTGGTACACTCAAACCGTGTACCAAATTAGGTTTTTCTAAATTCAAGTATAACTGAGATATTGATTTTTTTTTCGAAATTTGAAGTATAAAGTATAGTTGCGTTATAGTATATTTACAAACAGTATTGACCGTTGCTAGGCAGTTGCTAGGAAAACTGTACTAACAAATAATGATTGCATTTATCACGTATAGATGGTCCCGCGAATGTTGCTTGCTTCCTATTTTAGCTACTATTTTCGAGATATACCTAAAACCGAATGTTATTTTTAAATGATTCAATATTGCATTGCAGAAAAGATGTTGAGTTTTATATACGTTATATTTTTTGTGCGTAACAAAGTATTTGTCTTGAAGCATGATAAATATAGTGTGTCATAGTGAAACAACCTTCAAAACATAAGTGATCCATATTTTTATTATGCAGCATTCATTTTCAATAAAAACTGATAAATCATAATAATATATATTTTTAAATGTGAGAATATTGCTGTATATTTAATGTAATTGTATATTTAACTGTATATTTAATGTAATAATCTAATATTACTTTGTAGTTACATTGTTATGCTCATATGGTAGATAAGAGGTAACAAATATGTTACATAAACATTAAAGCAACGTATTTACAGTGTAATAATATCATGTAACAATTTTGTTAATGCAATGTTTTTATGTTCAATGGGATATTAAGTAAAATTTTAAAGTGTACCTAAGTTTCATTACGCATTAGATATACAGAGTGTTACTTATTAGTAGGTCAACCTGTGGTTAACGGGTATTCTTTAGACTAAAATAATGGGACTTTTTTATGTCACTTTTCATTTCGCAGCCCCATTTTCAAAATACAGGGTGTCAAAATTAAAATTTAAAAAATGATTTTTATTGATAACTCCGGTGATTGTAGAGATATTTATTTGAAATTTACCACATATTTTGCCTAGGCTTTCCGAATATTTTTTTTTAGATAAAGCGGCGTCCTATTCTATTTTTTTTTCACTCTTGAAAGATTTTGATTTGAGGCCTCGTTTACGAGATTCTCATCATCCCGTGCTTGAAATTGACATTGGTTCTAGTGATCAGCGGGGACCTACGTATTCGGAAACAAATGGTAAAGTTTTATATAACTTTAAAAAGGCAGACTTTTTGAAAATGAGCTATATAATGCAGAATTGTGATTGGTTTGTAGTAACTTGCCAATTGGATGTAGATCTGGCTGTGGCTAAATTTTATTATATAATTAATGATGTATTTGATAGAACTGTAAAGAAATTTAATATTAAACAATCTTATAGGAATAAATATCCTTGTTACTTTACTAAAGATATACAAGTGCAGCTTAAAGGAAAAGAGGAGTATAGGAAATTAAAATCTATTTCTGACACATATAAGAATAAATTTATTAGTTGTAGAAAACAATTAAAACAACTTATCAGTAAAGAACATCAGAATTACTTAAGAGAGGTTGAGAATGAGATAACTAGGAACACTAAGCAATTTTTTAATTATATTAAAGAAAAGAGAAAATCAGTATCTGAAAATGCACAGTTTTACGACAATAATGTACCTATCTGAGATAATAACATTCCAGATTGTTTTGCTAAATACTTTTATTCAGTATATGCATCAGTTCCTGCAGACTACAATACCAGTTACTTAACCAGTTACAATAACATTCCTATATTTAATATCTTATCCATTACTGAGTCTGATTACATTAAGTCGGTGAAAAAACTTAAGGGAAAAAAGGCTGCTGGATCTGATGGTATACCACCATATATCATAAAGGGCTGTTCTGATTATCTGAAAATACCACTATTATATATTTATAATTTATGTTTAGCAAGAGGCATATTTCGCGACATCGATTTAGTCGATGTTAGACTTTATTTTTTGGGGCTATATGAAAAATTTGAGTCGTTATTTATTTCAATTTACTGAATAAAATGGAAACGATCATCATCATGATCAACGATATTCAATTGGAGCTAAATCTAACATATCAAAAAAATTTCAATATTTCGTACAGTAAGCGCCAAATCAAAGTATGTCGTTGCAGACTAAAGTGCTCGTTACATCGCACAATTCGTTATTCAGTTAGTATTAGTACCATAGGTATAAAAGAAGTCGACTAAATTGATGTCGCGGATCCAAAAAAGTTACAATATCTCGCAAACCGAGCCCTAATCTTACAAGAGTGAAAAAAATTGAATAAAACGCCGCTTTATCTAAAAAAAAATATTTGGAAAGCATACGCGTGCTCAAAAAAAATAGGGGTCCATGGGTACTGCAGACCTCCTCCACTCTGTTCGCGTTTTAATATTTTAAACCAAAATTACACAAAAAGTGTGCCGACTTAATATCAAAATATATGTTAAATTTCTAATAAATATCTCTACAATCACTGGGGGTATTAATAAAAATCATTTTTTACATTTTAAATTTAACACCCTGTATTTTGAAAATGGGGCTCCGTAATGAAAAGTAGCATAAAAAAAGGCGCATTAATTTAGTCCAAAGAATATGTGGTTAACTGCTTGACCTACTAATTTGTAACACCCTGTATAGTATATTAAAGCGGCAGTGATATACTGTTATATGATGAAGTAGCTGAAAAATACGAAATTTATTTTTATCCAACTGATTCAGATCATGAGCATGTAAGTAAAAGTGTCATGAATAATAAACCCTTGAAGAAAAAAACATTAGTAAATTCTCATAGTAGTACCAACGCCTCCAAAACACTGTTGGAGTGCCAGGAAAATGAGTCAGCTACAATAATTTGAAAATGGAATCAATACCCACCTTATTACGTTAAAAGAGGTTGGCAGGATCTACAAAAATATGAATGTACATACCAGTCAATTTGCAGTTATTTATTTATTGCATAATTTTCCCGCAAAATAAAAAGAAAGTGTTGTTTTGTCCATAGCTTTGATCTGTAAATATTCATTTTCGTTTTGTGAGTGATTATTTGTCACGGAATATCACAAGTAGATATTTCATGTCCTGATATGGAGAACACAAAAATATACATGGGTCCCAGTCTTAGAGGGAGTTGTTCTAAATATATCCCTTAACCCACAGTATTCTGCTTTAGACGTATGATATAACGCTATTTGCAGTTTCATATTGTACTGTTAATATCTGCTACCTATTTATAGATACTTTGAAAGAAATTCGGTACGTATATTTTTAAAACTATAGTGAAGACATTAATGTAACTTTAAAATTAAATTGTATAATATTGTAGGGACATGTTTTTTAGATACTTATATTGGGAAAGCAAACCATATATTTAAATGAAAAAGCAATTTATAGTTCTGTTATAATAACTTCTTTTACATTCCGAGTTGGTTTTCCTTAAGATCATGTCATAAACAACAGAAGCAACACAAATATGAATACACGGAAGTTGTATTTATTATTCCATTTTCAACCAGATTTTTTTACGGTAGAACATCAAATATTGTCTTTTGATCAAAACATTTTATTTTGTTTTTGCTAATCAAAACCTACCCCCGATTTTTCTTTTTTGAGGGGACAAAATACAAGAGAGAGTAATATTATATTAGGTATCGATTTTTAACATAAAACCTTAAGTTACCCCTGTAATCAGCATTTTAATTTTTTTAATTTTTGCAAATAAATTTAGTAATAAAATAATATAATGGATTTATTACTACAGGTAAATTATTATGACATAAGTATCAGAAATGTATAACAAAATTAATTCTAATAATATTACAAATTAATTTCAGATTTCAGACTTTTTTGGAAACAAAAATAGAACAACCGCTTTTTCATGGACGTTTCGCACTTCATCAACAGCTTTGACAACATCCTATTTTTTCATTTTTAACTTCCAAATCATAAAAAATACTTGGTTATGACTATCTCATACCATTATTATTGATTCCATGTTATTATACTTTTATTGGGCTGACTTTCTCACTGCTTAGTAACATCATTAGAATTCTTTTTGCTATCTCCTTTAGATGCTTATTCCATGGCTTACATTGTCTGTAATAAATAATAAGTACTATATTATTTATTTATTAAATTTATTCAAAATTTGTAAATTTCGCATTTTTTATGAAATTTAAGAAGGTGCTGAGTATTGTATTCAGTTTATACGAAAAAAAAATGCTAATATGATTTCTCAAATGTTAAAGATTATACATACCTACATAATATTGACATTTTTACAATATTTTGAAGGTATTAATCTAATCTAAATTAATTCTAAACATTTTCCTAAAGTAAAGGCTTTTCAACAAAAATTGATTTAAATTCAATACTACAAAATGTTAACCTAGGGTTTTAAACTGTTGAACTACTTATTGTATACTGAAAATTCTACAATCTTGAAGTAAACAAATGAATAAACTGGTGAATGCGAACAATTAAAGCTAAAAGTTTTAAACAATACCTATTTTAATGTAATACCTCAAAAGGAAGACATTTTTTAATCGCTTAGTAACCTAGTTTCTTTAAAAAACATTTCAATAATTTTAAAACTGAAAAAAAGAAAAAGGTTTGTTACTTTTACGCAGTGAAATATTAAATAACCTATTTTTTAATTGTGTATATTTAATAGCATTTAATAGGATATAAATAATAACAATATTATTAAAGGTTTTTGAATCACTTTAAAATTAGGAAAAACTTATCATTTTCACTTTTTGTTACTATATTGTGTGGAATTTTCATTCACATTCTTAAAGTTATTCATTGAAATTTTAGTAGTTATTTGAAATAGTCAGGATGTCTTAACGTGATTCATTTAAGCTCACCACAGTCAAAAAGGATTAAAAGATTATTTTTTGACGTGAATTATGAAAAAAAAAGTCTCTATTATAATTAAAGTTAGGGTAAAGCTATTAGATTAATTAGCAAAATTGTTATAATTGTAAGAAGCACTCAAAGAATCTTGACAAAAATATGGTTAGTTATGATTATTTGAAATTGGGATTAATTTTCCATTAAATAAAGAGCGATAAAGTTTCATTTAGTGAAGAGACAATCTAATTAGTAGTTGCTACATTTTCGAAGCCTTAGGTATTCATTGTAATCTTAAAAATGTGCATACTTATTCGTAATTTACACTATCCTAAATAATACTAATCATACTTACATTTTTATTGTTATACGTATCTTTTACAGGATTATTGATATGCAAGTATCTAATATAAATATCATTTAACTTTCTTATTTTAGAAAAAGTTCCAAATAAGAAAGTGGAAAATTGTAGCTTTTCAATAAGAATTATAATATGGAAATAAAATGTTGTAAAAAGTGTTCTTAAAAAGAATAACAAACAAAACTTCTGTACTATATACAGGGTGTCCCGAAATTCATGCAACAAAATTTGGTCGCAGATTCTTAAGACAAATTTAGGGGACCCGCATATTTTATATTTGCCAAGTGACCCCCTCTTTCGGAGTTACAGCCCCCTGAAGTCCGCCCCCTAAGAATAATCTTTTTTTAATATCTCAGAACCCTGTTGTACGAGAATGGTTAAATTTGGTACTCAGGGGTTTTATGACATGTGGAATCTGATGGTGCCCCGTTTTTTGGCGGGCAGCCCCCTTCAGACAATTTTTCGTGGGCCCCCTTGTCTTTGGAGCCAAAAAAAAATTTAGTCGCATATTTAAATTTCTTAAAAATTATCAGTCCACTAGAATTTAGAAACTTTTTGTCTCTTTATACATTTTTCGTAAAACGCAAAGTTCCCGAGAAAAATGTCAAAATGTGATCGAATGCATATCGTGATTTGCCATTTTCCTCAAAAACATTGCGTTTTACGAAACAAATATCAATAGACAAAAAAGTTTCTAAATTCAATGGCTTTCTAGCTAACTAAATCAAATTTGCCACCAAATTTTTTTTTCCAAAAACAAGGGCTCCCACGAAAAAGTGTATTAAGGGGAGTTTCTCGCCAAAAAGGGTAGCACCATCAGATTCCACATGTCATAAAACCCCTGTGTACTAAATTTAGTGGTTCTCGTACAACATGGTTTTGAGATATAAAAAAGACTTCTTAGGGGCAGATTTGGCAAAAAGAAAAGATACGGGTCCCCTAAATTTGTCTTAAGAATCTATGATCAAATTTTGTTACATGAATTTCGGGATACCCTATATATCATTTTATATTTGAATAGAATGGTATAAAAAAATCACGAGTTTTGTTTGTCCTGCTTTTTAAGAACATCCTGCACAAAATTTACTATGTGATAAATATTTCTAGTTGCTAAACAACAAAGGGAAGGAAATTGGCTGCATAAAGGCATATTCGGCCAATTGCTTTCACCTAGTTATGACTCACTCTGTATATTAACAGACACACAAATAAATCAAATAGATAGCCATGTATTATTTTGAAGCTTCTAATACTCCGCACATCTGAAATCATGATCTATTTTTGAACCTAGCCTTTTTATTTATTTAACATATTTTCATATTACCTTATATTCACAAAATATTGTAAAATATAAGCAAAACAGATTATTAATAAAGCCAGTGTTAAAGAATTAGTCACACAAAACAGATATTTGAGTTTTGTACTTATTTATAGTTATTTTTCAAGTGGTAGAAAATGTTTATAAAAGCGTTTACAAGGATTGTTAATCTGCAAATATTTATTTACAAGAAATTAGAATTAATTAATTAATTTTTAAAACTTTCCTAAACTCTCAGTAGTGTTAATTGTTATCATCCCACCTTAACTTTTTTAATTTTCAGCTTCAGTTAAAAATACTTTATAATCTGTAAAAAGATACGAGATATCAAAGCACATGTAGATATGTGATTTATATGAATAATTTGGAAATATTTCAAAATATACTCAAAAAAAATTAACAAGATTTGTTTAACACAAAAAAGCAGTATAACAATTTCGGCTCCTCAAAAATAATTTCTAAAAATGTTTATAAATTTTCATCTACATTTTGATATCAAATATGCGAATAGACAACACAAAATAAAAAATATAATCCGGCACACAAATTGTAGGAAAAAACATACCTTTCGTGTTGGAATCACTAAACAATAAAGAAATTAATTAAAATTCTTATTTCTAATAACAATGACTGATTACTTTGGACAAAAATTATCATAAAATTTAACCATCTATTAATATTTCTCATTTTAATGTTACTACTATGATTTTGCTGTCAATGTATTAAAATTTTTAGAATTAATTTGAATTAACTAAATATAACATATAAAGTGTTTACAGCTTATAATAAAAACATATAATTTAAAAGACAATTTTTGATAATTTAATTGTGACATAATTTAATATTAGATATATTTATAATTATTTCGTCTTTACGTATTACAATTAAAAAAAAGTCGTTCATTTCGCCAAATGTGCATTTATTTTTTTTAATATTTAATTTCATTAGTAGGTGCTTACTTAGGGTTTATTTATATATAAATGATTTTTTTTAAATATAGTTATCAATTTCGATATAAGTATATCTAAAAAATAAATAGATAGTGAAAGATAACTAGATCAGTATAGGAAACAATAAGTTAACGATATTCTTCTTTTGTTAATACTGATTGATAGAAATATTTACATTAAATGCAATTCAAAGAAAAAAATGGCTGATAGTTAAGTGTACTTACAAAGCTCTTACAACTATCGAAAAAATAGCTAAACTACCCAACTTTAAGCCTACCAGTGATGAGTAAACGAACACACATGCTACATAGAAAAGCCGTCGATGGAGAGCGTCGAAATGAGGTTTTAGGCATGCATTTTTGGTTAGAGGTACTATTTTGGAGGCTCATACACCTTGCCACGTTTGTGAAATCCGCCGCAACGACGCGCCTCCCACTAACAGTACGGATGTCTTATTTGGGCGACGCCGTGCGGCTGCGTCGCTGCTCAAGCCAAACCATACATGGATGGTACGTGATATTTTGAGTAACCACCATTAGACACGGGCGCATACCAAGGGGTTCGCCGGAGCACTGAATTAATTCAATTAAAATAAATAAATTAATACGAATTATCTTTTAATTGTTTGCTTTTGTACTGTTTTTCGAAACCTATCTTGTTAACAAACAAAATATTATAACAAAGTTGAACAAAATATGAAAAGTACTTGACATCATCTTTAATTCATATGGACGTCTACGTGATATTTTCCATATTGTTAATATCAAATAAATCCTACTTTCATGAAAAATCGTATATATTCTGAGTGTTGGCCTTACTGAATGAAATTTATAACAAATACCTATTATTTAATAATTCCGTAACTTAAGTTTCTTTTATTTCTATATCAAATGCTGCGTTTTTAGGGTTTACTGCATAATGATGCATCGTAATATATCTTCAACTCATAGGTCATTAAATTTTGAGCTGATCCTTGTTATTAGTTTTAATATAATTTTGTTAGTACTAAAAAGAATTGATTTGTTACTTGCAATTGCTGAAATAAGTACCTATCCATAGCCTATAAAAGTGTAAATTTTAATAACTTAGTAAAAAAAAGTAAATACAAATTTGTTTATTACATTCAATGATTAGCACCCTTGTTTATTTTAAAACGAAAATAAAGAATAAAAAGTAGAGTATTTTATTTTTATAGATATTCGTCTCTTGTCTATGTATTTGTTTAACGATGATAAGTACCTTTAATACGATATTAAAAATTATTTACTCAACATAAAATTCGGAATAGATTTATTTTCTAATTTAAATATACTTTAAAATTAAAATAATCTGTATCGAAGTTTGATATAGAGATTAAAGTTACCCGTTTTATTTAAAAATTATATAGAAAAGAAAGTTATGCTAAAAATAAGACTAAGTTATTAATTTTCAATGTTATCTACTAATTGACTATGAATGAAATGAAATAGTATTATTTTAAAATACATTATCTGTAATGGCAAGATATGGTAGCAAGTATAGGAAATAAAATAGAACTCATGACGGCGCCACTGGTGCCAGACCCTATAAAAGCTAGTTTCTTGGTTTCCAATATTCAGTCGCATCCTAGCTTATTAGCTGTGTTTTTCTGTCTAGTGAGCAGTGATCAACCACATCAGACAACATGTGTGACGACGATGTTGCGGCTCTTGTCGTTGACAATGGTTCCGGAATGTGCAAAGCCGGTTTCGCCGGTGATGACGCACCCCGTGCCGTCTTCCCATCCATCGTCGGTCGCCCCAGGCATCAGGGAGTAATGGTTGGTATGGGACAAAAAGACTCATACGTAGGAGATGAAGCCCAAAGCAAAAGAGGTATCCTTACTTTGAAATACCCCATTGAACACGGTATCATCACCAACTGGGATGATATGGAAAAGATCTGGCATCACACCTTCTACAACGAACTCCGTGTCGCCCCAGAAGAACACCCAGTTCTCCTCACTGAAGCTCCCCTCAACCCCAAAGCTAACCGTGAAAAGATGACTCAAATCATGTTTGAAACCTTCAACACACCCGCTATGTATGTTGCCATCCAAGCTGTACTTTCCTTATACGCTTCCGGTCGTACCACTGGTATTGTATTGGACTCTGGAGATGGTGTCACCCACACTGTACCAATTTATGAAGGTTATGCCCTCCCCCATGCCATCCTCCGTTTGGACTTGGCTGGCCGTGACTTGACCGACTACCTCATGAAGATCCTTACTGAAAGAGGTTACTCATTCACCACCACAGCTGAAAGGGAAATTGTCCGTGACATCAAGGAAAAACTTTGCTATGTTGCCCTCGACTTCGAACAAGAAATGGCCACCGCCGCCGCCTCAACCTCCCTCGAAAAGAGCTACGAACTTCCTGATGGACAAGTCATCACCATTGGTAACGAAAGATTCCGTTGCCCTGAAGCTCTCTTCCAGCCTTCCTTCTTGGGTATGGAATCTTGCGGTATCCATGAAACTGTCTACAACTCCATCATGAAGTGCGACGTTGATATCCGTAAGGACTTGTACGCCAACACTGTACTCTCCGGAGGTACCACCATGTACCCTGGTATTGCTGACCGTATGCAAAAGGAAATCACTGCCCTTGCTCCATCCACCATCAAGATCAAGATCATTGCTCCCCCAGAAAGGAAATACTCCGTATGGATTGGTGGATCCATCTTGGCTTCCCTCTCAACTTTCCAACAGATGTGGATCTCCAAGCAAGAATACGACGAATCCGGCCCTGGAATCGTCCACCGCAAGTGCTTCTAAGCAATTTAATTGTATTTCTAATAAGCTATTCGACATGTTGTTGTACTGTATTACATCTACAGTTTTATTATTAATGCGACCGTGGTTGTACTGCCAGACAGACTTTTATTTGAACATCATATCAATTAACACCTTTTGATTATTATGTTTATTATTTGTTATTATATTTACTTATTGTAATAATTTTATCACTGGGCAGGTCAATAAAACCTATCTAGTAATAAACCTGCCTATTTATTTCTATTTTTAAGATTTTACGATCCAAAGAGAACACTGATGTTATTATTATGTTATATATACATACCTATTGTAATTTTTTAGTACATTTTTTCGGCATTATTTATACAATATATAATTAATTACAGTTTAACTTTTTAAATTCAGCTACCTTCCAGTAGGACACATTTTTTCCATATAATTTAAATTATTAACCAAATTGGATTATATCAAATACAAAAAAATAATTTTTCTATTGCCATACTTACATAACGTAAAACAGATTATCCTTATTACCAAAATAAAAATAGCAACACAGTTCTATTTATAGATTGGATTTTCTACAGAACAGAAATGACTTCTAAGTAAGTATCGTAAAAGTGCGGGAGGTAGCTAAACATTATTTCAAAATACGTCATGGGTTATTTATAACCTAGTGCTGCAAATAGCTCAAATCCTTTATGAATCTTTGCCAGCAGTAGATATTCGGTAATATTTACACTATCTTATTCAGCTCAAGGGAGTTAAATTTAGATTACAACCGCTTATAAGGCAAGACTTTCGGTATTAAATATATAATACTGGTGGATAGGTTATTTTAATAAATAGGAACTTGGGTGGTGGAAACAAAAGAATAGTGGGATGTTTTAAACATTCACTTCTGCAATAACTTGTACAATAACTTCTGCAATAAGTGCGTACTCTATTATCCATGAGATAAATCGAAAAGATGGTTTAAAGTGCTTAAATTAATATAGTGGTCCTCTCTAACTAAATGATTTACTAAAGACTAAGTATAAGTTCCACAGCTTTTTGGTAATTTCATAATTTTTATGTAACGTAACATGTTTCACAAAGTTTTTCGATCTAGCTTTTCGGGGTACTAAATATAAATTTGTGAAGTTGGAAAGAGTTCAAGAATGGAATTTGTTCATAAATAAAGTCAAATATTTATCACATTCTAAATCCTTTTGGAATATTAAGTAACACTTTTCTATTTCCTTTTTTTTTTTGTAAATAGGTTACGAGTTATTTTCTGCGCTCTAAATATTTAAACTTCACATAAAAAATATATAATTACTTACTAAAAGTAAACATAAACATTTATCTTTAATAGCTGAAAGATGAAATTTGTTTAATTTCTTATTGTAGATAATACATATAAAGATATAAAAACCAGTTTTAAATCAATGCAGTGTACTTACTTAATGTAGTAAGTTCAACAGTGGGCACTGTCAATTGGATATTTAAATGTATTTATCACTTTTCTTACTATTTCTGCATTTTACTTTAGGATTTATTTTTCAAGTGGTGTCATTTCAAATGAATTTAATAATTATTAAGATTACAAAATTATGTATAACACACAAAACATTTAGAAAAAATTAAATTTTGAAACGACAATGTCAAAAGTGTGGGTATAAACTAATGTAAACCGTTTTTTCTTACCTAACCAATATTTACTCTTTTACTAAATTAATTTTTTAAAAACATGTATTTTAAAAATAGTTAAATGAAGTTTACATAAAACTATTTTTCATCATTGCGAACCTGTGACAAATGTCACATAGAAGACATACATACATATACATTATTTAAAGAATTTTTTTGTTAATAAACGGTTAGTTTTAAAGCAAAGAATTAAGAGAGGTAAAAGTTTTAAAATAAACCAGGCTATCTGATACGTATTTTCGAATATTCAATTTTTATCAAACAATAAAGGTGTAGCAGAAAACAACTTAGGAGATGCTTATTTCAACCCCCTCCAAGGGGCCGAAATTTTCGAAACATTATTGAAAAGTTGCACATGCATTAGTAGAAAATTTATGTAAAATTTGACTACTACTACTTCTTTTGAAAACACCCTGTATATACAAAGTTTACACTATATTTTGACGATAGGTAGAGGCAAGAATTATAAATGAGTATTAAAAAATCTTAAGTCCTTTCTCATACTCTCATTAAAACAAATTAATTTCAGTGTAGAAATAAAGCCAATTTTTACTGTTTTAGATGGAATATCCTATAGGTATCAGAGATATAGAGTGGGGAGAATGCTCTTACAACCTGCGCGAGCGGCTAATAACAATGGTCGCCATTTTAAACATAATGGTTTGCCAACAGATAAATTTTAGGGAAATTTAAATAGGAACAGGGAGAGGCACATTTAAAATACAATACCAAAAATAAAGATTCAAATTATATGAGCAACATTTTTTATTTTAATAGTTTTTTTTCAGAAATTGGTAAATATCTAAAAAAAATTCTATTTTGAAATATAAAGATAAACTATTATAAACAAATAATGGTTTTACATATTTTATTTATTGATGATTATAAATAATATTAACTTAGTTGTTTTCGTATTAGATGTCCCTGAATTTTTTCAGTATATTGTTTGTCTAAATTAAAAAATTTTATACGAATACCTATATGCAGAAACAACACTTTTTGTAAGAAATAATAAATGACTTTCATGCGAGTGATACATTGTGCTCTATTAAACTAGAGAACAGTTTTCCTGCACAATTATAAAATTGTTGTTGTACCACAGAACTAACAAATACAAGCATGAAATCATTTTCATGTGGCAATTTATTTTCAGTGGATACTAAAAGTCGTCTTATTGCGGTAATTCTGAATATTTTTTCTTAATTTTATCAGGTAGATATACTGAAATAATGTAACATGTAAGCTAAGCAATATAGTCATTGGTTGGGGTTGAAGACAAAATACATGTAATGTGTATAACTCGCATAACCTAATTACTGCTTTTTCGTATCTATAACTATGTTCAGTTTGAAAAAACTTTTCTCCTTGTGCTGCTATCAGTAGGTACTTGCAGAAGTATCTTAAGTAGATGATAATTCACTAAAATAATAATATAGACTGCCAGGGAAAATAATATTTATAAAAAAAAATAATATTAACAAAAAATAAAATTACCAATGGTTCTGGTTAAGCTTAGAACGCTATGCCGTATCATCTAATGACATCGATGAAGTAAATGGAGCATTTTTTTGTATGGTATGTAATGTTTCAACTGAACTTGTGGATGGAGCGTCGGCTTTATTAGTTAAATAGGTTTCTAAATTTGGAACTGCATCAGGCTTTAGGCGAATTTGACTTCCAGCATTCAGAAAATCTTTTTTTATTTCTGTGACCATTTAAATTCGTGATCAAGTCTCAGACTTTTTACCCATTTTATAAACATATCACCCCTCGGAATGCTGCAAGATTATTTAAACAGTTGTTGCAAGAAATAAATTCATAAAACCACTCTTACCGATGAAATGTAATTCCTTTTGGTTTAAAACGCCTTATGTTAAAAAGCACCCCTTCACAGCACACGACATAACAAAAAACAATAAAGGGTACATGTTTTCCTTAGTGTAGAGACGATGTATTGAATATTAAAAAGCGTCCACAGCGGCAATTTGCCGCTCCAGGCGTGAATTATACGTAGGTATATAAACAAATAGTAACTAATAAATAATTCACGAAACATAATCTTGCTCACTCCTCAAAAATCAAAACAAAACAAAATCATGTTCAAAATGGCGACACTGGTAGTGTCCCTCGAAAATAGGATGCGCAGAAGTCAATGAGCCTTTTCCCTACTCTATATATCTGATAGGTATACGTAAATTAACGGGTGATATGTTTGTCTCTAATAATAAAGGAGGGATATAAGATTATATTTATTTGTTACATTGTTGTATTATGTATGTCGTAGCCCTATTTTAAAATGCGTCTTTTTATACGTCTAGACGTTTTATAACAGGCGGACTAATTGTCAAATATTCCTAGACATTGCGATTTGACTAGTTAAGTCATTTTCAGCCGGATTTTTTACAAAACGACGAGCAACGTGTGGATACATTGGCAAATTATAAACATCACCTTTTAAGATTTCGGTAGTTTTATAAAACGTTTATATTCGTCATTCTGTTAAATGAAATGGTAATCTGATTAATAGACTAAAAATTAATAAATACGGATATTAAAAGATTCAACATAGTATTTTTATATGATATTTATTTATGATTCACCTTAATACAGGGAGTGTTAAGTGACACGTCGTTTGAAAGGTATCTTCATTCTCTACGCAACTGTTTTATTTTTTGAATTTAATCGATTAGTTTAAATTGTAGGTTATTAACAAAAAAACCTACTTTTTACAAAGGACCCCGCACAAACCTTATGGAAAATGGTTCCCGGTCAAATTCGTTCAAATGGTTTTTTAGTGGGTGTAAACGGACTTGATTTGCCCGTCCTGAGAAACGTCATAGCATAAGTGTAGACGAGGGGTCTAATTCCATGGCTATAATAAATTTATAAATTAAAAAAACACAACTGGGACGTTTTAAAATGCTGTAATAATTAAAATTGATCAAAGCGGTTAAAGCAAACCGTAAAAAATATTAGATGTTATGTTTTATTTTGTTTTTTCAATATTTTCTATATCTTTTACGCAGACACGCCAATGGATTTTCGTTCCCGGCACGCTTCATCCCCCTTACTAGTCCAAAAGCTAACGATGAGTCACTCTCTATAATTTCGACCGCGGAGTATAACTGAGTTTATTCCCATGTATTCTGTTTCGCTAAATACGAATCTAACCTTATTTTGGACCATATCCCAAGCATTTGTGCGTAACCTCAAAAAAAAAGATCTTTCATTTTTCGACGGTGTGGGTCAGCAATTTGACTGTCGATTTTTTGTCCGAAAGTAGGTCGGAATAGACGGTGAATCTGAAAATTTGGGTTCGATACGACCAAATCTGGCTACAGTGAAATTTTGTTTAAATTAAAAAAATTTCGATTTTTTTATCATTTTCAGTATTTTATATCTCTGGCTCTATATAACTTAGAAACTTGAACCAAATGGCATTGTTCTCTAGCTACTGACCTTATATTTTAGAGAAAAATTAAAAATTTGTTTTAAACATAAATCCGCCGGCCTGACTGTGTGCTTTTAACTGAATCAGTACTTTAGCGAAATTTACTTATTTTTAAAACATTCCCAGATCTATAGTTTTTGAAGTAAAATGCT